TAAACGACTAGTGAAATTTCCAAATTTGTTTTTTTTGAATTAGCGTTTTGTAAATTAACCTTCTACCTATAATTGTTTGTTCCAATAACCTTTCATATTTCTAAATCCCAATTTTATCCTTCAAAATTAAGAAAAATTAATCTTTTACTAATATATAAAAAAGATTTTTGTTTTTACAATTTATTTAAAATATTTACAATAAATTTTTTCTTAAAAATAAGTATACAAATCATTAAAAAAAAAATTTTGTTTTGCAAAAGAGATCTCTATCTCTCTCCGCTTTTCCAATTTGAAGTAAATATCCGAAAAAAATATTTCACAAAAAAATAATTAAAAACAATTTATAAAAATAAATAAAGAAAAAACGTAATTGGAAGCAAATATCCGAAAAAATCATTTTATAGAAAGTAAATATTTAATTGTCCTAGATTTAGGGGATTTAAACTACTTTTGGTAGTTTAGACTTTCTACCATTTGGTAGAACATAGAGAAAGAGGTAGATAGAAGGGGTAGAAAATGCATTCTGCCTGGTGTAGATGACAAAGACATTGGTAGAAATAGCATTCTGCGACTGGTAGTACTNAAGCAAATGGTAGATTGTGCAATCTGCGATATGTAGAAATTGAGCAATTAGTAGAATACTTCATTCTACCACTCGTAGATTTATTCAAATTCGTAGAANACCTAATCTACTAGTAGATTCGACCATGGTAGAAGCAAAAATAAATAATTTTATGTCATAGTTTAAAAAAAAAAAAATTGTACATGAATCTATATATCTTGTGTATTACTCTTTTGTATTTTCTTAATTTTATAAAATTATAAAAACCATTTATTTGTAATTTTTGGAATTAATCAAAGGCTAATTTAGGGAAAAGTTGATAAGAATAAGGGAAAGGTTATTTCGCAAAACACTAATTCAAACTGAGTCAATTTAGCAAATTTTCCTTCTTTTTATTTGAAAAAAGTTTATTTAGGTTGTCATCATCGTAATATTGAAGATGCGTTAACATTGCTATACAATTCAGGAATGAAGAAACACCCACAATCAATTTGGTTATCAACTATATTCTTTATATGTATTGAAAAATTTAAATATGCTAAAATTCAAATGAATCGATTGAAATGACGTACAAAAATTGAGATTCTTTTACTTGTTAGACGAAAAGCGATGGTTCCCATACGAAGAATGCGTTTAGAAGTGAAAACGTTTTTTACTGACATGATTTATAGATCGTAAATTTAAAATTATATTGTCTTGTAAGTGTTTGTTACCTTGTAGTAGTAATTGTTATTTAAGCCATCAAAATGGTTACTTTCTTAAATATGTGTAAATGTAGCCATACTATTTAGATTTCTAAATGTAATTAATATATCAAATTTATCAATAATAAATTACAATCCACAAAGTTATACACTTTAAGAGGTCCTTATGTCTCCGGCAAAATAATGTGCGTTCGTGCTATACATTGATAGTTCCAGACTTTTCAGATTTTGTATCCGTTTGATTTGGTTAATTATTAATCAAATTCCATAATAAATTAGTTGTTTAGAATTGATCAAACTGCCGGGGAAAAACATAAAAAGAATTGATCAAACTAGAATTCTTATATAAAATAATTTAATAGATTGTGACCTTTTCAGATAAAAAGAATTGATCAAACTTGGTTGCATCACAGGAAAATCAGATAATATATTTTAAAACCTTGATATCATTACGTAAAAAAAAAATCTACTTAAATATTCGTAAATATTAGTTCATTGAATGGAAAAACGACCGAAAAAGATGTCAGTAAAATGCATTCCGGTGAACAAAGAGCTTTTCTTGAATGGAAAAAACAATTTCATAATGTTTAGTCACTTGACTATTTATGATTGCTACGTAGCAAAACATTTAATGCATTAAGAACACACCAATCGCGAGAAACCTGAAAATATGATACCATAAACATAAAAGGAAAAGAGTTATAGAAAAACGTATTGATAGATACTTGACTTGGTGACGATCAAAATGTTTGGTTCAACATGGGTACAAATTAAAGATACATGAACTAATCCATAAGGGTAATTTGCTATTACATTTAATAGAGTGAGGCGGAGTGGAAATTAACTAAGGGATCCAAAAATTCATAAGAGTTTATAAATAAAACGACACAATTCATGAATGAGACATTTTAAAATATTCATACCAAAGAGCTTTTGACATGAGAGCGTGGTCGATGTTGAGCGAGTCATAATTTCACTTATGTAGTTTTGATGGAATTCACTTGTCCTGAAATAGGGTTTAATTTCTTCAGCAGTTGAAAACAAATATTTGTTGCAAAAGTTGATATTTTTCAAAATTATCACAAACACAAAAATAAGTTTTTAAGGGTTTACAAATTAAAATTTTGAGTTTGGATTAACTAATTTAGGTTTAAGGTTTAGTTTATAAGAATACTTCACATGAGAATCCCTTTGATTATAAATTTCTTTGTTAATAATCAATGTTCAAAGCATTTACCTTTGTCATTATATTGAACATTAGCTCCTAACATTAACATGCATTCTTCTCAACCATAATAATATTTCAAACTTTAAACCTCTTTTTATCTCTCATGTTTTGCTTGAGAATCTATTTTTGGATTTTGAGACGCGTTCTCACTCTCCATATGCAATTACCTGAATACATAAAATCACAATTAAAAATATGTAGTTATACTCATTTTGCTCATATTCATCTGCTTTCTTCTACTCTTTGTGCCTCAAAAATAAGAACTTTGAAAATAAGAACCAAAACCTATAATAATTAATGAGCAAAATTGAGAGAAGAATATCATAGACGTGTATATATAGATATACCAAATATTCAGGCCCGTGCCTATGTTATAAAAAAAGAGGCAATGGTCTGTGGCCTTTTTTTAATTAAAATTAGAGGCCCTTAATTTTAGTTTTAGTAGTTGTATTAAGTA